ATATATATATATATATATTATAAAGTATATCAAATTTTTTTTCATATAATTTTCATTGTCAAGTGTCATGTGGTTTCAAGTTTGTTAGTAACGAGTTTATACTCAGAATTAATTCTTAAAGTGGAGTTCTTCTATTTTGAAAAAATAAGTGAGCTTGAATAACTGCTTATTTTTTTTGCTGTTCCAAAATGTTTGATACATTGAGAATACAAATAGAATTTTTCGTGAATAATTTGCGTTAGCTGGGCTGCACCTACATACATATATATGTATAATAGTCAAATTAATGACAATATAATCTGAAATCAAATTTTTACTTTCACCTTAGATTCAATGTAATCACATCATTGTTCTGGATTATGGCAAAATGGGGCTAAGCCAAATCTGTAATCCAAAACTATTAATCTTTGATTTAAAAGATGATACGCTAGTTAAAACCATTCATCTCCCACTTGATTTCGCTACTAACCAAACAGGTTCTGGATTATTGATAACGCCTTTGGTTTATATTCGGAACATTTCCGGAAAATGCACGCAGTTTCTGAATAAAATGTTTGTTAGTATATCTCCTCTTTTAATCGCAGTAATACATAATATCGTCTGTATAAATATTATCTCAGCTGCATGTTTTATTTCATATATACGCCGGAATGTCCGGAAAGTTTTGACAAAGAACTCGTGTGTAGATAGAATAAACTAAACTAAGTCGAAACGTCCTCTACCACTTTGCAATTTTCGCAATAGTTAATAAGATATTTATAATTACTAAAAATTGCTGAATATTGGTTTTCAATAATTTTTTTCTCAAATACTATCAACTTTACAGAAAAACAGTAACAGACAAAAATTGTTTATTTTCTTTTCATAAAGTTCTGAGAATTTTCTCAGAATTAAGTATTTTCATAGCACTATAATATATGTACTATAAATAGTATAAATATTTCATAATAATCATAATAAACACTTATACTTTTTCCATAATCAAATACTGTGCACATTGATAACAATCAATAAAACATTAGAAATTTCTCTACAATCAAGGATAAAAAAAATATTTACATAATATTAAAGTAAATCTTATAAATATTTTGTAAATATTTTATGAATATTATATGCTATCTGTGATATATATAATGAAACGTGTAACTAAACAATATTTACGTATACGAATGTATGTACAGTATATCGTATTTTTAATATTAAGTGATTCAATATACACGTAAATGTACACAGGTATTTATAACTGACTCGGGAGGTTCCGGTTTAATAATGTATGACTCATCTAGAAAGCGTATGTGCAGAATCGAATCTGATTACATGAAACCGACTGATACTTCTTTCTCTACAGCAGGTGAAAATTACACGTTTGAGGGCGGTATCGCCAGTCTAACAATCCTTGACGATGGCAAGTACTCACGGCTTTTTTGTCAAGAAAATTATGAGAAATGATAAAGTTTGTTCACCAGATAATTATTCAAAAGTTTAACTTTATAGGCTAGTGTAATCTGCAATTGCATGTCTTGCTGTAACTTCTATATGATCTTTTTTAATACTTTTCTAAATATTTTAGAACTTTATTATGTTCCTATATCGAGAAAAGAAATATATAAGATAAAAATAGAAACGTTACTAGAATGTCCAAACAAAGAAGAGGCTAATAAACAAAGTAAACTAGTGACTAAATTATCAAGCCAAACAGCAGTTATTACATCAACGAAAAATTCAATATTTTATAGCAACCTTGAGGCAATGTCTATTCTAGGCATGAACGTCAATAAAATATCTAATGAAAACGCGGTAAGATATTTAATTTAAATATTATACAATTAGTCTTTCCGCACAAATTGTAAAAATGTTATTTCGAATTTCTATTAACGTTTGTTACATTTAACAGTTATTGGTATGTTCTATCTCTGTAAAATAAAAAATTAATTTTAAGGTGGAACTAGCGCAAGATGACGAAAAATTTCAATCCATTGTTTCAATGAAACCTTCATATTATTAGGATAAGATGACGTTCATATCAAATAGATTTCAAAAGTATGTTCTGAATACATTAAATCTAAGTGATACAAATTTCCGCTACTTCGAAATGAAATTATCAGAAGTACAGAAAATTATGAACCAGTAAAAGATTATTAATTATTTGTATTGCAAAAGATTAATATAATTTGTAGTCATGTTAGATTTAGAAGTGTTAATAAAAATTATTAGATAAAAATAAAAAACATACACACAAAAATTGTAATTGACAACAATAATAAACTATTTTAAATTCTGAAAAAATTCTAGAAATTTAGAATATCATTTCCCGATCTATTACCTCATAAACACCAATTATACCTAAATATAACGAATAGATATTAGTTATTTAATGTCCATACATAATCTTAACATTACCAATCTTTTTAGGAGGCGTACTATATCGAACCCTGCTATCTATTCAATTTCTTAAAATGTACAATAAGAAAGTCAACAATACAAATCTTATAAAATTCTCCGTATTATCGGTGGAGAGTTGAAAAGTACAATACTATAGTCTAAAAATGTCACAGTATTTAAACTTTTTGAGAAACTCTAGAATGCACAAAAAATATACTTTTTTAAATACACATTCATCAAAAATAATAAATAAAAATTTAATTTACATAATTGTAAAAATTATAAACAAAATTTAATGTTAAAGTCTAAATTATAGATTATTCAAAGTAGGCTTTGAATTAAGAGCATTTCAATAGTTTACTATCTTCCAAAATAATTATAAAAATTGTTAAAATTATATAACAGTTAAGCTCGGGCATGAATTTAAATATCAGAGGTGGTGTTGATTTTAAAAATTGAAATTTTATTCATATTTTTATAAGCAAAAACAACAAAATTCAAGTACACTTATTTCATACATGTTAACTTCAACTAAAATATAATTGTACAGTAACATGACTCGTGTGTGTAAGATGCAACGCTTTAATGTCTTTATGAATAATCGGCATACAATCGGACGCATCCGGCGAATGGAGGTCGATAATTTTGTGAAAAGGAATCCAAATGAGTCCTTGTTCGGCTACGCATGCACTGGTAAGGATCATCATTGCGGGTAAGCCTTCCCGCACGTTTTCCTCTTTCTCTCTCTCTCTCTCACTCTCTCTTTCTTTCTCTCATCAATTTTAACAAGTCTTAACCGCACCTTGATATCTCGCTACTGACTATTATCAAGGAGAGTGCTTTGAAATAGTTACAAAAACGGCCGCCACAGAATAAGGCACACAATTGATGCAACGCGCATTTTTTTTTCAATGTAACGATATATATTCGTACTTATTTTTTAATGTTACTTTGGTGTGAACGAACGTCCATAGAGCTACGCCTAATCATCTTGGAAATGATTTATACGTATGCTTAAGGAAACTAGAACATTGCAGGAACAATGGTGTCTACATATCGCTGCTGCGTGACATTAGGTTTCGCGTTCCCACCCTCCCTTCCCTCCCTTCCCTCGCCCACCGTATCGTTATCACTAGCACTGTCTTATCGTCTCGCTACATCATTCTCTTCTTCTTCTTTATTACCATTATCATTAATTATCGATATTTATTATCGTTTTGCGTTCTGCTAATGCCTCAAATGACTTTATTTACACATCCTTCTGAGGTATGTTATGGGCGTTATGATATGGGATACATGACCTCGCGAACCATGTCTATCAATCGACCTACACGCAATTATGCAACCTAAGGTACCTTCAGTCTATTCTTGGACACAAATCAACTAAAGCGTGGGCTATGTCGTAACAAGTGCAGCTTTTCTTTATGTATATGCGTAAGTACACATATGCATCTTTGCAGTGCGTTCATCCGATTCCGGTCGAAACGCGTCTATCGGAAAAAAGAAAAAAAAAAGAAAAAGACCGCCTCGCTTCTCCCTGATTTCTCGACAAACGTTTAGAGGTGAGATCGTCTTCGTGACTCGGTTATTCGCATCGTGTAATCCAAATTTGGTGTCGAAAAAAACTTGTCGATTACGTCCAGTTTTAGAGATACGGAAATTTAATAAAGGGTGTCGCTTCTTTAAATTACAGCGATCTCGAAGCTGAACACGAGAGACGATATCTTTTTTACAGATTCAAATTCTGCGACACGCGAATTAGCGGAGTGTCAAACGGGAGAAATTGATTTGGTAATGCTTGCTCTAAACGTCCGTTGAACTGCAATCGTTACATGCAGATCGTTATGTAACCATCGTAAGATTCTTCTATATAGATCTCATTATACTTCTCAATAACAGACTAAAGCTATGGCTCACTGTTTTATCGCTGTCCGTTTTTTTTTTTCAGCTAGTACTTTCTATGAGAACGCGATATTACATCTACGCGAATATATTACGTAACGCTATTTAAAAGCATGTATTATTGAACAATTTGCTCTGTCAGCCCTCCTCGGTACGTTTTCCCCTTTCTCTAAGAGAAAGAAAAAGGAGACTCACAGTTGAACATGCGGGATATTCCGATAATGCCGAGTTAAAAATTGCGAGCAATCAGAACTTTCCTAAGCAAAGGCCATCCAACGTGATTACGTGCAACAATAACTCCTAGTCTTTTAACATTCGTGTCTTTTATATAGATTCTAAAAATAACGCTCTTGTCATTTCGACTGAGTGGTATTACGAGATATCGTAGCGAGAATAAAAACAACAGTCTGGCATCTCCTATGCCCTCTACACTTCTCCATATACTTCTTCCTTCTCCTTTCTCCCTTCTTTATTTATTTCATCCAAAATAAAATTCGCGCTTTTTCCTATGATAATCCGGAAAAAAACAACATATTACCTCTTAATAATATAAGCTAGGTCCAGATGAAAGCTGAACACTGAAACGTTACGAATCTCTGTCTTTGATTACGAATAATGATACACAGCAATGCTTATAATGATAATAATGGTAAAATGCTATGGCGCGCGCGCGCGCGTAGAGTGACTGCTACAATGCATGCTCCCACACACATAAAATTTTGAAAGTTTCCCACAGAAAGTTATACATCACAAACGAACTCTTAAAACTATTTACAAAAATGGATCGCGATTCGCGATGCTTTTCAAATAACATTCAGTTTTCTTTGAGCGTGTCACTGAACTTTCAAAAGAATATCGATTCATTAAATCTCCGTCCAACGGAGATAAGACATTTGCTTTTGTATTGTGAGAGGGGTGCATATTACACGTACATATACGTGATATACCCGGAGAAAGCACTATGCCCTGGCCTATTTTAAAAAGAATGGCCCTGACGCGATTATATAATTATATATTATTATAATATAAGGTATGTTATAATAATATATATATTTTTTCGTTTGAAAAAAAGTTTGCGCGATGGGGTATATCTCCTTGATATTATTGTATGTTGCAGCACACCGCTCTGCACGGTATCGGACCGTCGCCGTTCTGACCATACAACGACCTTTGCCCGAACATCTTCGAATCGAACGATAAGAACGGTGATTTTCCGTTGTAACAGCTTTCGTATACCTCGAACGCCTCATCGATGGGTATCTTCTCATCCGCTATGATAACGTCCTGATTTTTGTCCGGTATATAGATTGGGATCTCCTCGCCACGGAAATACCCGATTGTTTTGTCCTCCGGATCATTTGGCACTGTTCTCGACGAAATTACCGACGTGCTAAATTCGCTTGACTCTTCCTCCGTGTTGACGATATCCCGTGCGAGTCTGTAATACCTCTGCACATGTTTCACGATAGCTTTTTCGACCTCGATGTTATCGTCTTCCGCCGCCTCGCCTTCGCACAGGACTCCCGGACTTTGCAGCATCCTTTTTGGGGTTATCACAGGTTCCACAGTTTCTACTTCCCAGCACTCCAACACGTCGGGCTCCTCTATGCTGACCGAGGATCCTATCATTACGCTATCATTTTCGTCGCTGCTGTTCTTGCTGATTTGCTCGCGTATCTCCACGTTTTTGTTAATCATGTCGACGTAAGCAGCGGTTTTCGCGACGGGATTATCATGAAAATTAAACGGCACAGGTTCGTACGAGGACGTCGGTAACAATCTGCCGTCTTGCGAAACGATAATCTCCCCCTTCTCGAATGTCCGCACGCTCACCATACTGTCCTCGATCGTTTCTTTACCCTTCCCATCGTTTAAATTGTCTATACGTCGCATTTTGATATCAATATTCTCAACAGGATTTTTACTGATTTTTCTTACTGTCTTCATTCGTCTTCCGTTAACTCTCTTCGAGTTTATCCGAGAACTTAAAGCAACCCTCATACCCGCAACGCTATCCTCCTGAGTAAATTCGCAAACGTCACCAACATTATTCTTCGGCTTGTCTTTCGATCTCACGGCAGTGACAAAGTTCAACGAAACCAACGAGGAAACTAATTGATTCTGCGTTTTCTCATCGACATTCTTGTTCCGTTTGTCGTTTCTCTTTGCCATTGTTTTTCTTTTTACAACTTTCGCGTCCCTTTTTCTTCTGCCGATCGACATTGAATCAGCTTCCATCTGATCATTCCTGACGTTGTTGTTGTTGATGTTATTGTTGTTGGTTTTTGCGAATTCGCCGCAGCTAGCCGTGCGCGACAACAACGTGACGTTGTCAACACCGCTATTAGCAGATAGTGCAGGCATGGGGTTGCCTTGCAAGTTTTTTGGCGGCTTTGCATCCATTTCTTCATCATCCTCGTCTGTCTCGCTCTCCGAGGTCGACGCCGACGTTATGAAAAGATCGGGCGAGTTCGCTCGACGCAGCCACTCCTTCACCGCAGCTGTAATTGGATATTTTTTCGACAACCGAGTCTGGCTCTCAAATCCGGAATCCTCGTTTGAGCCTTCAATTGTATCTCGATTTGTCATTTTGATCGTGCTCTCGTTATGTACCTCCAGTGCATCTCCCTCGTTCACCACCTTCCGCTCTGTCTCACCCAGCTTATCGTTCACAATATTGCATTTGCAATCTACGTCCGACAGTTCGACAGCTTCGAATTGTTGTACGAGTATCTTGCTCTCCACATCCAGATGCGCGGACTCATCCAAGTCTGGCCCAGGCGTAGACTCCCTCACAAATTTCAGACCCTTCTTGTTGTACTTTCTCGGCAATCCAAGTGACGTTGCTCGCGTAACGGATGAATTGTTGCAATATCGTAATCGTTGAATTTCCTCTTTTTCGTTGACGTTTATCGTTGTTAAATTGGAATCATTCTCTTGAGGACTCACCGATCTTGACTTTGACGCCTTTTCCATTAAGTCGGCAAAATGTTCGTGGTTAGTATCGCCGTTAGCTAAATTTTCTTCAGGGCATCTGACGCAATTATTCAATGTATTCGTATTAATGTCGTTACTATTATTTTCGAATGACTCATGCTTCGCATTGGCACTGGTCGAATCGCCATCGTTCTCCAAAGAAGTATCACTCCTGGAAGGCGTTTCGTAATCAGTCGGAGCATTGCTCCTTATCTCAGTAGTCTCGTTCGTTATTATCGCTTCCACATTCGCGACTAGACGATTCGCTTGACTGTTAATTTCTGCGTTCCTGTCTCTGGGCATATGTCCAACTGTCGGCAATTGAACGTTGTCTAAAGATGTCTCCCTAACTATTTGCTCTGAATTATGGATTATCATCTCTTCCTGGTTCGTTAGACTTTGAGCGGTTGACGAGTCGCACGTCTCGGTCTCGCGACTGGCGGATTCCGTCTCGGTGTAAGATGACATATCCGGTGCGTCATTGACAGACGACGTGACTTCTTCGGCCACAGTAGTGACGGTGGATGTCGAAACAGGAGCAGAGAGGATTCGCGATTGCAGGGCCGGCCGCAATTGAAATTCCTGGCATTCGGGATTAAGCGGTCGATTCGCGGCCGACGTCGTTGTAATCGCGGTCGAAGTCGGACATTCTGACCAAGGTAGTCGGGAAGACGATACATCATTATCACATTCGGAACTGTATTCCCCTTCTTCTTCATCTTCGGTGTTACCCTGAATTTAATCGAAAGGAATGATTAGAAATTAATCAAGCATTTATATCAAAAATGTCTTTTGGCAACAAAAATAATTACGATAGTTTTAGTATTCGTATTCATAACATTTTCAATTTATGTTTCATACTAATAACATATATTCTGTTATTACAAGTTAATTGTTTCATATTTATGTTAATTATGTCTTCCAAAAAAAGTTTTAGAGCGTTTTAGCATTCATCTTATATTATATGAGTTTTATCGACTTACCAAAGTAGGTCTTCTCTGTTTTCTTTTCTTTCTCTTCTTTCTTCGTTTGGCGCACGCCATTGTCATAGCTGTTACGTCCATGGTTCTCACCAAAGGCCCGCCCTGGATGGTAACACCTTGGACAAAAGAAATCGTCGCGCGTTATCGGTCTGTCGAGAGATACGAGGACCGGTCAACGAATAATACTTTAGTGCGACATTTGGCGATCCGATGAGCGATTCTCTCAATTGTATGATTAGAAGAACGACTAGAACGTGCCGGAGTTGTCGCGAAAAGTGAACCTAGCTTTTCACTGTTTGTCTGTGCCTGCTGACTTCTCATACATCGAAGCGAAACAACACGTAAATGTTATTTTTAACAAGTTCTATTCGAGATGTAGCAACGTGCTGTCGTTGCCAAACTATCCCCTCGCGTCTTTCGCGTAGCTAAAACATATTTCCGACATTAAATTGTGCCGGTGACCATGGGACGTATTTTCTCGTGCAGTAGCCACGAGTCAATGGACTCTCACATGAGATATGCTTCATTATTGGTGCAATGTGAAAACAATGAGACAATACGGCGTGTAGCAGCTGTGAAAAGTATATCGATTGATGTTTATGCGAGTGACATATGTCGTTAGTCGCGAGCGACAAACAGACAAATCGAGCGTGTACAGAGTTGGAACTTTAGGAACGATCGTGAAGAATGAACTACATGTACACTGGACATCGTCGAATACTCTCGACATGAAAAAAATGCCGAGCGGTTTCTCGATACTGTTTTGCGAACCTATAGGGGCTCAAGGCTCCCACTTCCACGATCGTGTCTAAAGCGTGATACCTTTTTTGCGAATTATTACCTTTTACCTTGAATGTGGTAGAGGCACTGCAGTAATATAACAGCAATGATGCCGATGGACGGGACAGAAGTCATGAATCGGGGCATATCCCTTTTCCTTGGCCGCGCTTCCGATCGACACTGTTCTCGTTTAACATTAGAAATAGGTACAATCAAGCGTACTACGGCCAGTGTAGCGCAGTACGAGGAAGGAGCGTTCAATTAGCACAGATATAAATAACTTAATAATTGCACGATATCGTTATTTTTCTACAATTTTTTTCATACTGTTAGTTTTTACGTTATTGTTAGTTTATGCAGTGATTTGATTGGATATAATGTGTCTCGCATTATCATTCTTCCCTCAAACCAAATCTTTAATCAAATTGACTTTTCTTCTAGAAAATTATTCAGACATCAACAGTTTTTTAGTTAATATAACCAGTAAAAAAATTAAAAATTATTTAGAAACTATATTTTGAAATTGCTAATAAATAACAAACACTTTGAACAATTTTGAATAAATAAATTTCAATCTTACCTTGATTCACACAATTTTCATAATCCTGTTTCTATTATTTATTTATAAATCTACAATATAATCGACTGAATTTCTAATAATTAACAAACATTATAGATTCTAAAGAGTAAAAAATATATTTTTTTGTATATTTTTTCTGATACGACTGCTACATAATAAATTGTACAAATAGACTGCGCTAGCACTCCCTCCCCGAAATGCGCCTTTTTCTCTTAAACGCAAACGTGGGCAATCAATACACTTGTCCGTTGTTCCGTCCATCCGACTGTGAACAGAACGAAGACTACGAGCGCGAATGTAGATCTGCTCATGCAAGTAGCAGAGAGCAAGTACAGATTTTGCCAATCCGTATATTATAGCACGCGTACATTACTGGGGGGACGACTCCGAATCCTAAATCTATCTATCTTGTAACTAACCATTAACGTTGACCAAAGGAGGTCCAAACATGTAGTGACCAGGATATATGTACGGCTGCGGCACGGCTGGCACCATATGCGACATATGCATTGGCTCTTGCATCATTAATGGATCTAGGTAAGGATCGACCGTCGTCATGCCGTTCTCTAAATGTTGTCCCTCGAGATGCAACTGCTCCTGTGGTTGTTCTTCTATAAGCTGTTCTTTCACGGTATGCTGTTCCATAGTCGCATTTTCCTCTTCTTCGGCTTGCTCCTCGATCTCCTCAGCTACGCTGCCACTGCAGCTAGCGCTACCAGTACCGCTCTCATTCCACATACTGTTGGAAGCTTCCGCTGTTACTATCGTGCCGTTCTGCTCCTCCACTATTGCGATCGGTTCTGTACTTTGATTAGTCTACAAATAATTATATAATAATCAAATAATAATTAAATAATCAATATATAATTGTTGTAATTGTTATAATTGATTGGAATTAATATAAAGTAATTTTTTTTACGCAATTACAAAATCTCAATATTATAACAACAATAGGCAATTCAAAATATTGTTCAAATTGACTCCAAAATAGATACTATATTTATTATTCAATTATAATATTTGTATTCTAAAATTTCTGTGGATTTTTATATCAGTATTTCAATCGAGTATCTAATGGAAATATACGACAAATAAGATTTTCGAATTACCTGATAATCCATTAAGCAATATGGCTGATTGGCAAGTTTAGGCACGAATGCAGGATTAATCCACTCAATCGGTCTTAGAGGAACCGGGCCACAAGGTACAGTCGCTAGAACGTTTGGTCCAATTTGAGTAGGTACTGGCGCAGGTCCGACCAACATCACAGGATATTCGTAATAGTAACCGCTCGCATGATCGTAAAATGTTCCGTATCCTAATTGCGCTCCTGGCTCTGCGCTCATGGGCGGATATTCTCCCGTTCCACTGTCCCTATCCAATAATTGCTGGTCCTCTGTAGTTTCGCTGCCGTCTACAAAGACGTTGTTATTTATAAATATGTTCTCGTTTATCGGCAGACTAAATATATTAGCAACAAGATAATAAAAACTTTCTCCAAGTATCGCTGTAGAAAAGACGGAAGGCTTGTCTCGAGTAAATACGTGCAAAGTATATACGAATAGACGCTTATTACTAGACGTTGGAATTCACGTTTCAACAATACAACAATTTGTTTTCTATATTGACGATTTATGAAATTAGAATATTTTAACTTGCTGACTCATTAATGACAAAAAAAACAAATTATCTTGATCATAAGTATCAAGCATTCTCAATTCACTGCATTTTCTGAGAAAAGAGATAATAAAAGAAAAAGGAGGACTAATAAAATATTAAAATTATTATAAAAATAAATATGATTTTTCAACAAAACTCTGGTTTTAATTTATTTTTTGTTAAACACATAGAACGTTTACGTTAATTGGGACTGCTTTGTATTTGTGGCCAAGGCTGGCGTTTTAGCATCACTTGCCAGTGGCATTTAGCATTCAGTAATATGTTTATCCTATACGATAACCACCTGCGGTGGAATGTGATGCCGACTGACTCTCTGTAGTCGACGGCGTAGCGCTGGTGCTCGCGTTTCCAGTCCAAGGCTTCTTGCGCGACAGGTAGCCCTTTTTGAAGAGAACATCTTGTCGCGGTGTTGTAATTCTCGTGTACTCCTCCTCGTTGAAGATGATCTTAGGTTGCGACGGTGAACCCGCGCTCTCGTCTCTGTGCGATCTCGAGCCGCTGCTGGCGTAGCCGCTCGTACTTCCGCCGCTGGTGCTGGTACCAGCTCGACGCGGCTTGTAGCCACCTTGCTGTCCATTCCGATCGAAATGTGTGTGCGCATTCGTCTCCTTCTCCTGACTCTTCACGTAGTCTTTTCGCAAACCCTCCTCTTCATCCTCTTCACCGGGTGGAGCTGTTGAACCGAGAGCGACGTGATTAGCATTCAGACTCACAAAGTGCATGCTGTTCTCTTCAATTAGTATCAAGTCAATGAAATAAAAATTTTACGATAAATAATAAATAAATTTATATTTCCGCAAAAAGAGAAGAACATTCGCAATGTTTTTAATAATTCGAATCTTAAAATATACCAGAAAGATATTTTAAAGATATCTAAATAAAACAAATCGATTTTGTAGATATTTTTCTGTAAATATTTTTTACAATTATAGTTCGCGTCCAATCATACATATAGGTACTCGTAAAGAATAATTTTGTTAAAGTATTTAAAAAGGTTAACCATGATAAGCAAAATTTCTGAAATAAGTTTCTAAATGAAATGAAAAGGAGTAATGGGAATTAGCGTTGCTATGCACAATTATTGTATATATATGCATATATATGAAACGAACTTTATCGTATTTAAATCTTTACATTAAATTACAATACAATGACGTACGTTTTGACTAATCTTTTATCATTAGCAAATGTTAGTACAAACAAATGCTGAAGACCCAAATCGAATGCTTTGATTACGTTCCTTGAGAGATAGTCAACTTTCTTTCATTAAAGAACAAACTTGGTTGAATATGGTTGGATGATACTGAGAAATCTTATCAAAACGGAATCGTAAAACACAATATGTAATAACGAGTCAAAAAATAATATATGTTCTAAAAAATGTACAACACGGTAGCCACAGAATAAAATTAAACTTGCTAAGCATGACAAACAGATGTCAGCACATTGCCATGTCAGAATTTAAATTCAAATTTAAATTCTGACATGGCAATATATTAAAATCTAATTGTCATACTTAGCTTTGTAAGTTTAATTTTATTCTGCGACTACTGTATTGTATATTTTTTACACTTAGAATTGTGTTACTTTTTGACTCGTTATTACACATTGTATTTTACCATTATTATATATTATTGGCCAACAAAAACATTCTTTTATTTGTTTACTGAATAGTTGCGTTTTAATGAGATATCTCAGTAAATACTTAAATACTTCAGTAAAATAGTTCTTTCCGCGTATATTCGGATTTTTATTCACAGATATTTAACGTTATAGACATCAAATGGATTCAATGTCTAGGAAATCGACGCTTCATTCGCGTAATACATAATTTAAATTGTAAAAAGTGAGCAAGTGAATTCATAATTGTAGGTTGTCAGTCGCGTTTAATAACGAGAGAAAATGTAAGATATTTCCGTGACGTCTCTCGAATGATCACTTCGCACGTTGTATTTAACGCACGAAACTACATATATCCTTCTAAATGTAATTTGTATGAAATTGATTGTATCACACAGGAAGTGTTTGTGAAATTGATTGTTGAACAACATAGTATAAGAGCGCTCCATTCGGAAAAAAAGAAACACTCATTCATGCAAAATACATAAATTGACGCGCTTTATGTTCGCCTCATTCAAAATTTTATATATACGAACACAATAGTTTAACACATGTATAGTATTAATAGAATTATAGACATTACTAAAAAAGTACAGATATAATAGAAATGGATAAACTGAAAAATTAAAAATCTCGAAACTGTAATGAATTTCGTATTTTATAGCTTCGAGATTGTATTTCAGAAAGTGTATTTAAATTATTTAACTGATGACATGGATGAGAAGCGAATGAATTATTTAATTTATATACAAACTGCGATAAGAGAAATTTCACATAGTTTTCTTTCACCTTTCTCTACATTCTCTGCTTAAATCTTGACGCTCTTTATACAGGGTGTTTCTAAATAAATGCGAAAAATTTGAGAAAATAATTTTTTATCAAAAATTAAGGGAGTTTTTCATAATATGTACTCCTATATCCCGTCCTGAGAAGTTATGCTCCTTCAAGGTGGAGATAAAAATTAAATCTTTATTTTTTCTTTTTAATGTTAATAAATATCCCCCAAATATCTTATTTACTAGTGAAAAATGTCCGCTCAATTTTATTTTCCTAACTTTTGTCTAAAATAAAGAAAAAATTTATTTTTATCTCCTCCTTTGAAGGAGTGTAATTTTTCAAGGAAGGATATAAGAAAATACACACACATTTATATAAAAATTTTAATTTTTAACAAAGAATCATCTCAAGGACCCCGCACAAATCATATGGATAAAGTGGCTTTAATCAAATTCAGATCAGAAAAAATATCTCATAAATTAATAAAATATCACAATTTCAGCAAATTTAACCGAAGCCACTTTTTCGATATGATTTGTCCTTTTTCGCACTTATTTAAAAACACCTTGTGTATACCGATTCAATAATTTACACAACAAGTTACGATCGTCACGTGCAATTATATTGAAATGATGTTTCCGTACCATCTTGGTACCTCGCTAAAAGCAGCACATGATTCGAGGAGCCGATCACGTGGGTGACCTTTTTCTGCCGACGCCACTGCATCGCACCCTTGATGCTATCTTCCCTTTAGGATTATCCTGATTGATCGACGAGCAAAACCGCTCCTCGAAGATGTTCCGACCGATCGATTCGTTTTGAACGTTTGGTGCTTGACGTAAATCGAGAGATCGATTCAGGGACATTCACCGCGGTCACTGATAAAGGGATAGCAGTAACGAGTAATATGCATCGCACACGATGCCTCGAGAACGACTGCAATCGGTACGGGGAAGGGGGTGCACACGCCGGACGAGACGAAGAGTGAAGAGCCCGCGAGGGATGTATTTGCACGTATGGTAGCTGGGAGGACGAGTTGCCCATTGGCTGCCTCCACCGGTACCAGAATAGCATCGGAATTAGAATAGAAAACGGGCTACCAAGGAGGCTACCGAGCTATTGGCGACTGATGTCTTCATCTGAGCACGAGTGAAAAATCGTCCTGATTCCTTCATTTTCAATCGATCAATTCTTTACGAACTGAATCGATATCGTAGATTAATTCCTATAGACATTAATCGAAATATGAAATTAAATGTAAAAAAAAAAACGTTAAAGTATAATGGCAATATAAATAAATCAAGATAATAGATTAAGATATTATATTTTAAATAACAGAAAGAATTCCATTTTTTCGAGAAGCGAATCTTGATGCTTAATAATGCCCATATATATTTACAAATATTTTTTTAAAATTATAAACTGCGTGTCGATTTGATTTGTCGGACATAAAACGCAATCAAATTAAAGCTGGAAATAACATCACACATATATTGATCGTCAAATCAATAATGATGCTAATAAACATCTTAAAACAATGCCAAGAATTTTTTGCGAAAAATATCACCTTGTCCAAGATTTGAACTCCCAGTATTATTTCAATATTTTATTTCAGTAAAATTGAGAATGAAAATTTCATTACATCTTCAGGGGCAGATGGTTTGTTACTTCTATATTAAGTTTCGCTTTTGAATAAATTTATTAAATCTTGAATCTTTTAAAAAAGAAACTGAGAAAGTTTCTTTTAAATATAAAGAAGAAACGTGTTAAAAGTTAACAGTGGTTATTTTCATTAATTCACAGCTTTTAGATAATAGTAAAAGATTGAAAAAGTATACTTTATTCAATGGCAATTTAATACTTGTGTGACTTTATTGTGTGAATATGAAACGGGATTCAAGTCATTGTCGACAAAGATATCAAATATATTAATGTATTCTCGCTTTAACGTTTAACCACATTGTGAAAGTCAGAAGGCAAATAATTGTGGTCGCTATTAAACCCGCCAGTTACTTTTTCGAGACGATTTTCTAATAAAGCTAAGCAACACATTTTTCTGATTTGGAGCGCGAACGTTCACTGAGAGCAATTATAGTATAATCACTAAATGGAGTGCTAATTTGTACTGATAATGTGTGATACTGAAAAGAAATTAGTATCTCAGAAAGGCAGGCATATATTTGCAGCTAAAAATATTTTGCGATTCATGCCATTTTATCCAATTATCATTATTTTTATAATTATTATATCATCGGATTTTTCGAAGATCTTATCTTCTCTCAATTCTTATTTTATTTGTTTTCATTAACGCAATCTCTTCCCATTAATATAGCCTTTCGGTGAATCGCAAACTTTGCATAAGTCACTTTAAATACTTAAAATACTTATTAAAAAATTTAGAATTTTTTGTTATTCTTTAATAAAAGATTTAGGAAACAAATAAATATTGAATTTATTTACAGGACAACTATATAATTTTTACATCACAATATAACTTGACATAAAAAAATCATACTTGAAATATTTATATTAAAAAACTAAAACCTTTGTCAATATTTTATAATACATACATATACATTTCAATAAATTTCTATTAGAGCACAGATGAAAAAATAGTACTTATTGAAATAACTTCGATACATATGGCAAATTGGCGCTAATTTTTTTGTATTGCTTTTAAATACAATCTAGAATAATCTGAATTTTTCATAATTTCTTTGTTATTTTGAAATATCTACTATACATTTTTAATATACGCACAGAAAAATTGGGAATAAAAAAATTAAAGAGCGAAAAGAAGCAATTTATCTACGAATCATTCGCCTGCGAGACGAATTATTTTTGAAACGTAATGCCGAGCGTCGTCCCAACACATGTACATAACATACGACATATCGCATTCTCGTTCCAGATTCCGTCTTGGTTTACATTTCAAGCGAACCGTGCGTTAAAACATCTAGATATCGTGCAAGTGTATTAATATCTAGATGGTACATTTCATTGATCGTGCAAGCGGACTAGTGCTCGCTGTGTACATCGAATGCATATCCTTCGTGCTCAGATATTATCTCTCAAATTCCAATTTGAGAGATAATACCTGAAATATCTATATAATACAGATATACTGAGATATTAATAAGTAGACCCGTGTTCGTTGCATTGCATCTTGCAAACATACTCGATCCTCAGCATTGTACGTTTGCCATGTACCATGCAGATCATACATTACGAAAAATCGTCCTTGGTGTCGAAAATAATTTTTCCTTGAAACCTGAT